GGGTTGGGGAAGTGCTTCAAAGGTTCTTCCCTAGCAGTGTTAGTGGCCAGTTGCAGTTGTGAGCCCAGTGCAGAAGCTTTCCCCTCCTCTCTGAGCACACGGTGTCACTCTCCAGTCCAGGGTCTCTAACCCAGTCCCCTTTGCCTCTCCAGAAACGCTGGGTTGCTGTCCTTTCCCAGGAGTATCCAACACTGGCTTTCCATGCCAGCCTCACAAACCCATTTGGCAAAGGTGCTTTCATACAGCTTCTAAGGCAATTTGGAAAGGTACAAGGCAATTTTTAGGATCTGTGGTTGGTTTTGGGGGGTTACTATGTGGTCATTTGCTTTGTTAGCATTTGGGTGATAATTCTGAAATGTAAAAGGGCATGTTATTTCCCACCAGTTACACTCTGACAAGAAGCAGATCAGTGTGGGGTTCATTGGTTACCCCAACGTTGGCAAGAGCTCAGTGATCAATACCCTACGGTCCAAGAAGGTCTGCAACGTGGCACCCATTGCAGGGGAAACAAAGGTAGGAACATCCCTGTGTTAAAGATACAAATGTGGTTGAAGGCAGAATTGATGTGAAATCAGCCCAGTGACCTTKTCCAGTTCTGCACTGAACCACACAGGTTGTGTGACTGGGGAGGAGCTGGTGGACAGTCCCAGCTCTGAGGCACTGCTCTGGCAGCATTCCTGAGCTCCCACTCTGCTGTACTGCTGTGATGGGAGCACTCAGCTGCCTTCACTCCCTGTCTGTGCTCTCCTGATCCAAACACTGGGTCAGGCTCTGGTTCTCTGACTCTGATCTTCAAAAATAAAAATAAACAAGGACTGTGTGGAAGGTGCTAAYGGGGACCTGCTGATCTCTCCTAGGTGTGGCAATACATCACCTTGATGCGGCGGATTTTTCTCATCGACTGCCCAGGGGTGGTTTATCCMTCAGGGGACTCAGAGACAGACATTGTGCTGAAGGGAGTGGTATGTGTCTGCACTGCATGCTGGAAAGCTTTGCTGTTGGCACCATGATGGGCTCAGAGGGATGAAAGCACATTTCCAAGGGTTGATCCTCTACCTTGCTTTTTCAGGTTCAAGTTGAAAAGATTAAGAGCCCYGAAGACCATATTGGTGCTGTGCTGGAAAGAGCCAAAGCAGAGTACATCAGGAARACATACAAAATTGATTCCTGGACAGATACAGAAGACTTCCTTGAGAAACTTGCTGCCAGGACTGGGAAGCTGCTAAAGGTATGACAGCTTCCTGCATTTGCAGGCTGGAAGAGCTTGTGGCTGGTTACTGAACGTGGGAAATGGGAATGTTTCTGTTGCTTACAGAGCATAGGAAGGCTGTGTGCCCTGCAAACACAGACATAAATTGTTCCTTTTTTCTCAGGGTGGTGAGCCTGACTTGCAGACTGTGAGCAAGATGGTTCTCAATGACTGGCAGAGAGGCAGAATCCCTTTCTTTGTGAAGCCACCRAATGCAGAACCAGGTCCCCAGGTGAGAATGTGATGCTTGTGCCTCTTCTTCCCACATAWTTGGTTTTCCTGGTGGTGTTCACTGCTGCTTTTCCCAGAGTGCCATGAGATTCGGGCAGTGCATGTCCTGGGCTCTGCCCAAGCCTAATCATTGAGGTGATACTAGAATTTGATGAGAGCCAGGTAGCAGTGCTTTTTACAGAGATATCTGAGCCATTACTGACTACCAGAAATGTCAGTAATCACATTGTCATCTTAGGCTTTTTCCAAAGAGAAAATAGCAGTTGTTCTTGGACATGGTGGGACAGATGTTGTGGATAATATATCCATGATGGTCTTTCTTACAGCCTKCTGTGTTGGAAGCATCTGTGACATCCAGCCAAGATAACACTGAGGAGAAGGTCTCAGAGTCAGTGGCATCAGGTGTGGAGCCAGCAGGAGAGAGGAATGACTCAAACACTGAAATGAGGCAACTCATGTCCAACGTTCGGCAGAACTTYGGCAGGATTAATGTGGCACCTCAGTTTTCAGAAGAAGACCTGGTTCCTGTGGATGTGCCAGGTTTTGATGACACAGACAATGATTCCTGTGGAGAGSAGGAGCAGGAGGAGGAGGAAGAGGAGAAAGRGGAGAATGAGCACAATGAGGATGCAGCAGAGGAGGAATCGCAGGTGGCTGCACCAGGTGCCCAGGAGAGTTCTAAAGCAGTTCTTAAGGCTTTGGAGGACAAGATTGCAAAATACAAAAAATTTCTGGATAAAGCCAAGGCTAAGAGATTCTCAGCAATAAGGTAACTGAAGCTGTGCAATACTTTGCAGGGGGAAAGGGTTGATGAGGCTGTGCTGTAGTTTCACTCCATTCTTGCCTTGCTTGAGAGGTTCTGAGCTGCCACACACAAGTTGCCACAGCTTAATCTGGTTTAGCCATGAAGGCTGGAAATTTGGCCAAGTAGCAGTTTGTTTTTGAAACATTATTCCAATGAATGCTATTTACCAGCAAATTAAAAATGTTCTTACTTTTGGAAAGCTGCCTCTTAGACTATGGATTAGAATTCCCCATATCTTGGTATTCTGGGCAGCAATGCTGCATCCTTGGATCTCTCCTTGATGTTGGGTAATACCAAGGCTAGATACACCTGAATATTCGTGCATATGCAGAGAATCTGGCCCATAAGCAGGCCCAGTTTTATAAAAGCTCACTCACCAGCCTTGTGAGGACTGAGATTTCAAGGTTTAAGTGTTGCATTTTCTCTCTTCTGTAGTGCTCTAGTGCAGTAACTCCAGGGCCAGAGTACTGCAGTATGTTTCTTAGGTGCAAAGACTGATGCTTTGGTGCTGAAGGGGGACTGGGATCTGCTGGAGTCTGATGGCTTCTCAGAGGTGGTCACAGTTTGTGTAACAAYAACATTTTATTGCTGATTTTATTCTACGTAGAATCCCTAAGGGACTGAGTGACAAACTGTTTGCAAAATCCATGCAGAAGGCTGAAGAACCCAAAGAAGCTGAAGACAGAGGTAAAACAAGATTAGTAGATGTTTTTAATCTACTAAATTAGTAGATGTTTTTAATYTACTGTTTTTAATTTGGAAATCCTKTGAGCCAGAGAARAAAGRGCTWTRAGGGGAGAAGTATCCATTGGATCCTGTGTACAAGTTCTTTTTCCCTAAAACTGCTTAAATTGGCTTTTAGCTGACCCAAGAGCTKCTGGTGACCAGGTGTAGCCTCCCTGTATAACCCCTGTCTGTGTGATGGGACATGTCACTCAGAGAAGGAAGGCAAATGTGTTCCAACAGCCTGGGCTCCAAGCAGGCTGCAGCCAGAGCAGCTCCTCTTCCCTGGGGTGTGACACAGGAGGGAGTGGGCAGGGTTTGGGATGTTACAAAAGCAGAGATAMTTCAGGCTATAGGTTTTACTGTGACTTCATTTAAGCACAATCAGGTGGGAGAACCCTGACATGACAAGACTGTGGAAGACTCTTGGACTTGAATGGGGCTTGAGGAATCTGCTTCTTGAGAGCAGTTTTCACAGTAATAGCTGGTGAGGTTCTCTGGTGAGGAACATGCATGTTGTTTGGGCAGATGCTCTTAAATACAGCCAAGGGAGTGTGTTGCTCAAGGAGTTGGGGTGGTGGCCCCAGCCTGAAGTTCTTCAAACAAATGGGTGTTCTGGAAGTTACCAAGTGTATGATATCTGCTGTTTGCAGGCACCACAGACAAGAAAAGAAAGAGGAAAGCAGAAGAGGACAGTGATGACGATGACCAGTTGGGTAAACAGCCTTGTAAGAAACTCACATCCAAAGAAGTAAGTGTGATTTCCTTTAGTACTACTGAGCAGGGAAATAAGCTGACTTTTTATCCTTGGATTGCCTGTTATCACTAAAGAGCTTTGAGAATTTGGTCATGAGCAGAAGGGGAATGAAAATTGAATTCTGTTACCAATGTTCTGTCACAACTTCTGTGACACCCCTCTTACCTGACTATGCACACCAGGTTGCATCTTGTACCTTGTTGACTATTTCTGTAAGGACTGAAGTGCATTTTACACTCATAAGAGCAGGGWTGGGTGGGTTCCCTATAGAGTCACATCAGTAACATTTTGTTGGAWACTATTTTACTTAAGGCGTGTGGAATGTGAAGTGAACACCATTGGAGAGTTGCAGACATGGAGGCTCTGGGTGCTGGGGATTTGCTAATGTGTTTTGTGTTTGCAGAGGAGACGAGCCGAGAGGCAGCAGCGCTCCAAGAAAGTCGGAGTCCGGTATTATGAAACTCACAACGTGAAAAATAAGAATAAGAACAAGAAAAAAACTGGCTTGGAGGAACAAAGATCAAAGCACAAAAAATACARACATAAGCAATAGCTGCTTATTCTATTAAATTTTACATAAAACAGCACTAGTATGCAGTGGCTTTTTTTACCATAAAACTTGCGGTTCCTGTTCAAAGCCCAGTGTGATTGGTCTGTCCTGGCCCCAGGAGCAGCATCTTTCTCTTTGTTTCTGCATCATCTGAAAGTTCTTTGTGCAGTTGGAGCTGATGGTATTTCCACATCGCYGTCCCAGGCCAGCAAGCACTGCAGTAGCCAAACAGCCATTCCACTGTTGCTCAGTGGTGGGGTTTTGGTGGGTTTTTTTTCTGGAAACCAGCTTTATGAGATTTTTCACAGGACTACAGGGAATTCTCTTTCCTGTCTTCACTTGCTGTGTAACCAGCTGCTTWCACAGGTACCTCATGCAGGGATTTAATTTGTCTCCATTGAGAAGTGAATCTGTGACTGCCCTTGTACCCCTTCATTTCATTAGAAATGATCACACCCAGAGCTTTGGTGTGTGCTCAGTTACTGCTGATGGTTCTGATAAGGGATTTCRATGGACAGTTGACACCAGCTTGCAGATACTCAAGTAAATACCCCCAGGACACCTGTCCAAGAATGAGCTGCCATTTGTTTCTTGGTGCCTGTGACTGACATTTCTTGTGAACACTTTTATATTGTGAACGTTTTTTCTGAAACATTATATTTTTTCTTCTACAACATTTTAAAATTAATAATGTCAGAGAGATGTTTGCGTTTAAAAATGTTTATTAGTTACTGCTTTGAAGGTCATTAGCATGGTACCAACAGGCAAGTTCCAGACAAGTTTGCTGTTCAAAGAGCTGACTGCTGAAATGGCACTGAAAGAGGGAGCAGTAATTAATGAAGTTCTTGAATTTCAACTCTTCAAGAGAGAAAGAACACAGTTACACTGCCTGCTGTTACTGGTAAGTGAAAACTCAAGATTGTTTTAGGAAGACAAATCTTTGTCACTAATTGCAAGCTTCTTATTCTGACAGCTCTTCTGAGCTTGCCTTGAGGACAACAAAACCATTAGCTCTTTGCTGCAATGATGGTTTCAAGTTGGGTCTGAAAAACAAAYGAGACAATGAGACAAATTAGATACCCTAACCTAAAAAATAAACCTGCAGTGCTGTGAAGGGCTAAATTTTCTGTTGGATGTTCACAGCGAGCAGCTGAGGGACACTACAYTGCTGCCAGGAGAGCCAGGCCAGGTTTGTTCCCCAGCCATTCCATTCCTACGTGTTTTAYAAATTAGTTTTTCGTTCCTGGCATGCACACTTGTTGCATTCTGAGGAGAACAGAGCTGGCCTTGGCTCCATACRATGAGAGACTTGGTTTAGAATATGAAGCATCGAGGGGGAAATTAAATAAAAGCTGTTGAAAAAGTGAATTCTCTGATTTCAGGCTGGACTATGTGAGCTAAATTAAATATTTGGCACTCTAGCATTTGGAACACAAACTGATTCTGGGACAAGAGTGGCTGGGAACAGCAAGTTTTGTGATTATTGAGATAAGATGATGCTATTTAGTGGATGGATGGGAGCAGCCACCACAATAACCCAATAACAGCAGTGACCCACACAGCTGGTGAGRTACAGGTACTTCAATGAACAAACAGATTCAGGGGCAACACACATCTGACCTAAGATTTTGTGTCCTAAAACATTCCAAGACAGCCTGAAAATGTGGGTTAGAAAGTACAACCTGCAAGAAAAGCAGCTTGCTGCAATGGAAATGTTTTTAGCTGTAGCCAGAAACATTTGACGTTGTTCAAGGTGACATTCTTTCCTTAGTCAAAAAATGTGGGATTTTTTTTCCTTTCAAAAACAAAGTACAGAGCAGAAGCTCTGTTCTCCCCAGMGCCACATGCACAAATAATTACCCAGTCCCTGCACAGTTGTTCTTGGATAGTATTTAATGTTAAATTGTGTGTTGTGTTACCAGGGTCGCAGTTTTAATGGTTTTAATGAGAATTTTACCACTAGTATTTGGAGTTCTGGATTTTTACTGACCTTCAGCTGCTGGTTTGTCCGTTTGAGGAACAGAACTTCTTCGCTGTGTTTCCTCTCTTCTATCTCTCGTCGTTCAGTTTCCTGCCTTTCAATGGCCTCACATTTCGCTTTCTCCTGGCTCACTTGTTTTTCCAGCTCCTTGTTTTCCTCTTCCAACTCTGCAATCTTGGAAAACAGAATTAATATCTGTTTATTATATAATAATATTTATTTATAGTATGTATAAATATACATAATAAATATGTATATTTATAATCTAYTGTATTAAGTTTTGTTGATAAATAGTCAATTTTCAGTTAAGTTGAGACAARGTTGTGAGTGGTACAGTCTTTAAAGCTGTAGAATGGGCGTCAGAAGTGCAGCTAAGCCCAAGGACAGGGAGCCTAGGATTTTRATGGGCTTTGCTGCCATCCGGTGGAAATGGTAACAGTGTATTTAAGAATATAAAAATTGCTGTTATGTTAGTTATCACAAGCAGAAATCTCCCTCATGGGGTGAGCAGCCCCACTCACCCTTTTCTCCAGGTGGATCTTGCCCTGCTCTGCCTGCAGTGCCTTGCGCACGCCGAAGGCCACGCTGCTCTCGTACAGAGCCTGGTATGCAGACAGGGTCAGCTGCAGCTCGTCCCGCACCCGCAGCAGCAGGAGCCCTCGCTCTGCACAGCTCACCGTGGTCTGGCGGATCAGCTCGTCTGCAAAGAAGGAACAGTAGCTGCAGTGCCTTTATCTGGGTGTGTTGGACATGGGCAGGGCCAGAGCTGCTCCTCTGACCTGTTTCCTGCACCACACAACCTGGGACACAACTAGAGATGGTATCAATGATTTGTTTTGTTACGTTGCAACTGTAGCATTAAGCTCAGAAGGTAAAAGCAGAGTGATRGTATAGCTCCTCAAGTAATACCAGTGATGCTGATCGCCTAAAGCTATGACATCAAACGTTTAAAAATGTGTAATGACTTGTTGCAAWTATGGGGGAGCCTTCACAGGATCCTGCTCTCCAACCCGTGGCCATCCCTTGCCTTTGGGAGACCAGCGCTGTATCATTAGAGTGTATAAGATATACAGAGGTTTAAGTTACTTTAAACAAACCATCGATTTAAGTGCAACTAAGAGGATAACGAAGATGTTTTTATGTGCAGGCATCTCCTGGCAGCCTGTCCYTTGTCTGGAGCCCGAGCAGCGCGGGCACTGACCGAAGCACTGGGTGTAGAGCTCCCTKCGCACGGGGCACAGCCCGGTTTCCCTCGCCTGCCGCTGCTGCAGCTGCCGGTCCAGCTGTTCCTGCAGCAGCACGACGTCCCGGCGGGTGCTGGGCGCGGTGGACACCTCCTGCACCCAGAGCTTCTGCGCCTCCTCCCATTCCCTGCCAGAGAAGCACCGGCCGTTACCGGAGTCACCGGGAGCTGCCTGGACCCGCAGGCCCTGCCGGCCCCGGCCCGGCCCGGCTCACCGCGGCGGCAGGATGATGTTCAGGAGCTCCTGCGGCTGCTGCGTGGGGGGAATGCTGGCGGGGGTCCGCGGGGGGGGTCCCTTCAGCGTCTGCGGGAACAGGAGAAGACAGCGCCGTAAGAGCGGACGGGGGAACCGCCGTCCCCTCGGCCCCCGGCCCGCTCACCCCTGGCGGAGCGCGGTGTCCCCGCCGGCCCCGTCCCCGCTCACCCCCGCGGAGGCTCTCTCTCCCCGCCGGGACACCAGCATGGGCTGGCAGTACCGCAGCAGCGACTCCGGCGGCGCCGCCATGGCGGCCGCGGCCCTGTCACCATGGCGACCGCGCCGCCGCCGCTCGAGGCTCTGCGCAGGCGCGGCAGCGGCCGGCCGGAAGCGCCGCCGGGCGGAAATGCCGGCGGACCGGAAGTGGCGGCACTTCCCGTCGGGACGGGCGCCATGGAGGCGGCGGCGGGCGAGCGGCGGCGGGAGCGGCGGCGGCGGGAGGCGGCGGTGAAGGCTGAACGGCGAAGCCCCCGGCGCAGCCCGTCGCCGCCGGGCGAGGAGCGGCGGGGCCCGGCAGGGCCACGCGAGAGCAGCCGCGGCAGCAGGTAGGGAGGCCCGGCCGCTCGGCCCTACGCTCGGCCCGGCCCCGCCACTAACCCCCCCTCCCGTTGTTCCCCAGGTCGCCCCGGCGGAGGAGCCGGTCTGGGCGGAGGAGCCGCTCTCCGCGAGGCAGGAGGAGCCGCAGCCACAGCCCGCACCACGGCGCCGTGAGGGTGAAGCAGGTAAATGGTGCTGTTGGTACAGCGGGGTCCTGCGGACGCCGCAACGGGCTCAGTTACCGGAGACTCTGCCGCGCCGAGTACGGAACGGGCCTTTTCATTTGTTGGTTTATACTGGCCTCTGCATTTTGTCCCATGAGCAGAGAGAGGATCTGGGAACGCTACAGAGCAGGAGCTCCTGCTGCCCAGCTCAGGCTGTGCTGCCAGTGACAGGAGCTCCTGTTCGAGCCCAGCCTGTGCCACAGAACAGGCACCCCTGGGAGCTGTGTCCTTTGCCCAGAGCAGGTGACACTGCCAGTTTCTTGTGCTTTATTCAGTGCAAGTTGTGGGAACCCAGGYAGTTTGGCAAAGAAATCTGTTTGTTCCACGTTCTGTGTCCCAATATGTGTTTTCCATGTGTGAAATTGGGATTTTCTGAAAAGCCAAGGTAGATCTGCTCTCTAATTCTGGTTATCCTTTCCAGGAGCGAGATGAGCACTGTCGCAGGGGGAACGAGGAGCGGAAGCAGAGACACCCATCAGAGCAGGAGCACCGGCGGGACAGGAGCGGTGACCAGGACAGGCACAGGGACCACTCTGACAGAAAGAAAAACCCCAATGACAGGCCWGGAGCCCGCGGCCACGAGCGGGACATGCAGAACCTGCGGGAGCAGCAGGCAGAGAGGGAGTTCTACAATGAGAGGAGGCGAGAGCACCGGCAGGGCACTGAGGGCAGYGGTGACCAGAACCCGGAGCTCCAGCAGTCCGAGAGCAAACCCAAAGAAAAAGCCGCTGTGAACAAGGAGAAGCCAAGCTTCGAGCTGTCCGGGGCGCTGCTGGAGGACACCAACACCTTCCGTGGGGTGGTGATCAAGTACAGCGAGCCCCCTGAGGCACGGATCCCCAAGACACGCTGGCGCCTGTACCCCTTCAAGAACGACGAGTTCCTGCCCGTGATGTACATCCACAGACAGAGTGCTTACCTGCTGGGCCGGCACCGCCGCATCGCCGACATCCCCATCGACCACCCCTCCTGCTCCAAGCAGCACGCCGTCTTCCAGTACCGGTGAGCAGCTTGGGAACCTGGGGAGGAGAGCAGCATGCAAAGGAAACGCCTTGGAGTGCGTGGCTGGGAGGGGAGAGATCGCTGTCAGCACGTTAGAAATGGAATTGATGTGTGACTGCTGCAGAGGGACCAAAAATACCTGCAGTTCCTTTAATTTAGCCACAAGCAGAGAATTCATGTAGGGAGTGTTAACAGCCTGCATGGGAATAAAATGCCATGTCCTTGGCTGTCTTGAGAAAAAGAAGATTGGTATGTAGAATTGATAATGCAGGTGGCTTACAATTATAAACATTACTAATACTGTAGCTTTTGCAAACCTACCAATCCTATGCTRWTGAGTAGAAAGTGACAGCCTCACTGACCAATGTATGTTTGACACAAATGTATGCACTGGTTGCTAAAGTGGATAAAAGAGGCTTGTCCCACAATAAAGTCCTTCTTTCTTTCTGCTTTTTTTTACCCACTTTTTGTGTGTTTTGTATCTATTCTTTTATGTCGGCTGTCTGGCCAACAGCGACAAATTCACATAGTGGGCTTAGGTACAGAATGGGGTGTGAATTGCACCCACCAAGTGTGATTGACGATAAAAGCATTTCAAGGAGAGGTTTGTTGGTTTGCTCTCTCACAGTGGCAATAGCTGTGCTCCGATGCAGAGGGTGCTGCTGCTGCTGCTGACAGTGCTCTCTTGGTGAACTGCTTGGAGAACAGACCAGCTCTCTTTGAGAACATCTGTCCCAATGCTGGAAGTTACTTTGTTATATCACCTGTGAGGTTTAGGGAATGATGCAGCCTCTCTCAGACCTGCTTTGTCTGATACAGAGTTGTTCCTCTCTTGTTCCTCGTATTGGTCTCACACAGTTTTTTGTTGTTCTCATGGGGCTGTTCTGATCTCAGGAAGATGAGTGCTAACTGCACARACCTCTCTGACAGAGCACAATTTCTGTCCCACCTGCTTTTGGAGCATGTTTCCTGTCTCTCTATGGTGGTTCAAGGCAATTTTTTTTTATTTTGCAGGCTGGTGGAGTACACCCGGGCTGATGGCACTGTGGGCCGCAGGGTGAGGCCCTACATCATCGACCTGGGTTCAGGGAATGGCACCTTCCTCAACAACCAACGCATCGARCCCCAGCGCTACTACGAACTGAAGGAGAAGGACGTGCTCAAGTTTGGCTTCAGCAGCAGGGAGTATGTCCTGCTCCATGAATCCTCAGATAAATCTGAGGCCAATGCAAAGGACGATGATGAGGATGAGGAGAAGGAGGAAGAGTCTGACAGTTAACGGATGAGGAAGATGGTGAGGGGCAGAGGAGAGAAACTCCTTGCAGTTGAATGGGACTGGGATGTGAACACAGAGCATCACAGCACTGATGCCTCTTGTTGCCTTAAAGTCCTTTCTCTGTTGCTGGTCTGTTCCCATTGTTTGTTTTGGGGGACTTTGCTCATTATTCGTCTTTGATAGTTTTGCATATCAGGAAATACAGCTTTACTTTTATTTTATTTTTCCCCCAACAAGCAGAAGAGCACCTGGACATGAAAGCTCTGGTGCTGGAAACCCTTCACAGATGTTGCCAGACTCTTCTAGCAAACCATGTCAAATGCAGACAGCATCTGGAAAATTATTTTTATGACTTGTTTTGTGATAGCCCTTTGAAAATGCTACAGACTAAAATACTAGTTAGAGAGTACCTGATGCGCGTCCTGTTCAGTAGTTTGCCAAATTCCTCTACCTGYTGGGAGTTCTGACAGGAGAATTTACCCAGATAACTGCTAAAATGATGGAATGTGGCAAAACCCCTCATGTATTTGTACGTTTTGGGTATTTAATTTGACTCATGGTGACTGAGGGACGGGCATTTCACTGGAATTCTGCCTGAATTCACAAGGGAACGTGAAACAGGAGTTAAACAGTTCCCGGAATTTCAGGTGATGAGACTGTGACTGGRGGCTGAGGGCCCCCAGCTTCCTGTTCCCACACATGATGCTAAAACTGTCCTGGATGTGAAGTGTCTGGGTTGAAAGCTGGAGACATTATTTCTGACTCCAGGATTTGTGTCACACAGAAACACCTTTGGTGAGGTGTTTTAACCAGCGTTTGCACTATTTAAGTTCTTTTTTTATAAAAACTTACCCAAGTCCCTTGTTTAGCAGTCTTCTCCCTGTGAAGAAATCAGTGTTTAGGGAGAGAAGCCCCAGTCCCGCTCGCTGGGAGTTGCATAGTCTGTGGTGTCTCCTCCACGTTGCTTTATGTTAAATGTGTATGTCCCACACTTTACTGATTCACCTGGGTGTTTGTGGTGTCACCTGTTCGTCCCTGCTGGGTACAGACTGTACACAAACGGTGCTTGTTGTACACATTGATGTAAATATGGGGCATTGCTGTGGGGTTTCAGATGGGTAGGATGGGGTTTGAGAGGAAGAGCTCCTTTATATCTACTCCGAGGGTTTTTAAATAAACAATTTGTAAATTTAGTCCTGGTTACTTTCAGTTGTAATATTTTTCTAGTGTCCTTTTTTTTCCCTTGAAAGAGATGACGTTTCAGTACTTATTTCTGTATTTCTGTATTAAAAGAGTTTAATATTAAAGATAACCAGTTCCACCCCTGCTGTGGGCAGGGACAYGTTCCAGTAATCCCAGTGGAMGTGCCCAGCCTGGCTTTGGGACACTTGCAGGGATCCAGGGGCAGCCACAGCTTTTCACACACCCCCTCATGGCATTTGAGGAGATTCCATCTCCCAGGGCCAGAGCTGGTCCTGCAGGCCCTGTGGGGGTGGCCCTCCTCCACCCTGGGGACACTGAGCTCTGAGCTGTTCCTGAGGGAGGYACTGAGTGATCTGCTGTCTGTACCTGCCAACACCATCCCGTGCCAACATYTCCTGCTCCTGAACAGCAGTGATCCTCCTCGCGGGGCCGGTCTGCCTTTCCACAGCATAGCAATGATATCGTCACTGCACACTGCTGTGTGAACCGTGTTGGGGACACCTCTCTCACCACTCAGGTGACACAAACCTCCTGAAACGACAYAAACTTCCTGTGCTCACAGCCCTCTCCAGTTTTAACCGTATTGGTTCTTTTAATACAGAAATAAGAATGTAGCAAGGTTGGTTTGGAGAGGCTTTGAAGAGCACAGAGCGGTTTTTAAAGCTGGACACACCGCGCTCCTGTTCCGATCCCTCCGCCCCGCTCTGCAGCGCCCCCGGCGGCCGCTACCGGCACTGCACCGCTCTCCAGCGCCCCCGGCGGCCGCTGCCGGTACTGCCCTGCTCTCCAGCGCCCCCGGCGGCCGCTGCCGGTACTGCCCTGCTCTCCAGCGCCCCCGGCGGCCGCTGCCGGTACCGCCCCGCTCTGCAGCGCCCCCGGCGGCCGCTACCGGCACTGCCCCGCCCCGCGCAGGCCGCGCAGCCATGGCCGCGCTGCACGCCAAGGCCGGCGGGCCGCCGCAGATCCCGGACACCCGCCGGGAGCTGGCCGAGCTGGTGAAGCGCAAACAGGAGCTGGCGGTGAGCGCCGGGGAGCGGGGCGCTGCGGTCGGGGTGGCGGCGGAGCGGCGCGGGGAGGCGGCGGGGCCGGAGCGGCGCGGCCGGGCCTGCTCCATGGGCGGCGGTGTTCCCTGCAGGAGACGCTGGCAAACCTGGAGCGGCAGATCTACGCCTTCGAGGGCAGCTACCTGGAGGATACGCAGATGTACGGGAACATCATCCGCGGCTGGGATCGGTATCTCACCAACCAGAAGTGAGTGGCGGAGGCTCTGCCCACCTGCCCGGCCCCCCCTGCCCGCCCGGCCCCGCCATCGCGCCTGTCTCTGTTTCAGGAACTCCAACAGCAAAAACGACCGGCGGAACCGCAAGTTCAAGGAGGCCGAGAGACTCTTCAGCAAGTCCTCGGTTACCTCAGCAGCGGTGAGCGCCGGGATGGGTGCTGGTGGGAYGAGCAGATCCTGTGCCCACCCCTCTCTTCATCCGTGTCCGCATCCCTGTGTCTATTCCCATCCCTTTCACTGTCCTCATTCTGGTTCTGTCTTCATCCCCATCCCCATCCCATCCCATCCCATCCCCATCCCCATCCCCATCCCCATCCCCATCCCTGCTGTGCTACAGAACAGCTTACCCCTGTGAACTCCCGTACCTTCCCTGGCTCCCTGACCTGAGTATCCCCATCACATCCTGCAGCCTCTTCCAGAGCCCCTTTTCCTGGTGTTTGTGGGGTGGGAGGATGCCTGTCCCTGGTGTCACTGCCATCCCCTGGCTTTGTCTCTGCCCCAAYCCCCTGGTGCCATGCAGGGTCACAAGCATTTCAGCATGTCTGTGTGATGTGGACTGCGTGCTTTGAGCATTGGGAAGTGAATTCCTGCTTGGCTTAACATCCCATTTGGTTTTCCAGGCTGTCAGTGCGTTAGCTGGAGTCCAGGACCAGCTCATTGAGAAGCGTAAGTCACTTTGTGTTTTTTCGGTGAATTTGGGAAGAATTAYACTCTCCCCACCGTTCAGCCCTGTCTCAGCCTTCCAGATCTGGGCTGGACCTGGGCTCCTGTTCCCAAGCCCTGTGTCTGTGCCCTCAGGCTGTTGTTTTCCTCCTTCCACGCTCAGCGTGGGGTTTGTTGTGTGTAAAAGGGATTGAAATTGGTTTGGTACTCTTTGGAGGAAGAGGCTGGAGGAGCTGAAGCACCGTTGCTGTAGATGTGCCAGCACTCACAGGAGATGGTGGGAGGGACTGCTCACCTCCAGCATATTTAAAAACATTTCTGTGATCAACACCAAATGGGATGTGGTTCCAGAGAGCCTCAGTGCTGAGSAGCAGCTTCCTAACCATCCTGCAGAGTTGTTTCCCAGGTTCTGTGAATTACCTCTTGGTGCTGCAGGGCACGGGTGTCTCTGCTGCTGTTCTGGGGTTGTTTCTCCCACTCAGGGCTGTGAGCTGGGAGCTCACCCTGGTGCTCACCTGGGTTTGTCCTGCTCTAGGGGAGCCGGGCAGTGGCACAGAGAGTGACACTTCTCCAGACTTCCACAACCAGGAGAATGAGCCCAACCAGGAGGATGCTGAAGAGCTAGATGGCTCYGTGCAGGGTGTGAAGCCCCAGAAAGCTGCTTCCTCCACTTCCTCTGGGAGCCACCACAGCAGCCACAAAAAGAGAAAGAACAAAAACAGACACAGGTCAGTGGGACCAGCAGCTTCCTCACCACACCTGGACGTTTGGTTGGGGCTGGATTGAATTTATTGTCTGAGGGGAGTCAGTAACATGTTGGAATAATGGGCAGCTGGGGTCAGTTTTTGGGTGGTTTTCCTGGTTTTGGAAGAGGAAGGCAAAGTGCTGGGGAAGTTTAACAAGCAGCACAGGGTGCTAACTCCAGATGTGGCACAGCTCTGCTTCTGGGCAGCTTCTCCAGCTCTCCTGTCTCTCCAGGATAAAGCTGATTGCTTCCAGCAGGTCCTGACCTCCTGAGCTTGCTGCTTGGTTTGTGCAGAGCCCAGTAGGACAGGAATGTCAGTGCTTTCTTTGAAGGAGGGTGGAAAGCAAATGGGAATTTTTTGGGGGTTTTGGACACTCTCAGTATCTGGATTTCTACTCCAGCCCCTTCCAGCTCTCACATCCCAGCCAAGTCTCGGTACTGGCATGGAGGAGTTGCTGTGTCACCTTCACCTCAGAGTGTGTGTTATTAAACTAGCCTGAAATTCATGTGAAAAGGATTCCTTGACCTTATTTCTGGTTGGATTTACCTGTAGAGCTCTGCCCTTGAGGTGTAATGAGGGCAATGAGCCCTCAGCCCAGGCTGCCACCAGTGACAGTACCTGTGAAGTCAGGCCTTGAGAGGGGAAAACCTTGGAGAGGAGATGCTACAGAGCTGCACCTCTCTGGAAGGATTGCTGAAGCTGGGACCTAAGAATTTAATAATAGTAATTGAGCTTTTAAAACTCCAAAGTGTCTGTACTGGCTYTGAGCTGTTGGCTCTGACTAGGGATGGGCTTTTCTCTTTAAAGGAGCTCTCCTGCAGTTAAAGAGAGAAAAGGTTTGAAGTGGTTAAAGTTTACAAGGGGGGCTGGGGACAGYTGGGGTGGGGACATGAGGTAGGTACAATGCTTGAAAAATGCTTAACTCCTTTTTTGCYTTCATTAAGTGTTGAGTCATTAGCATGTCTTTGATTCTTAGGTCAGAATTTCCTTTCTACAGCAGCCTGAATTGGACAAATGTCCAAAAGGACTGGATGTCCCTTTGGTTCCTCATGAGCTGGGAATCCAAAGAAGTTCAAATCTCTTTTTTTGCCTGTAGATATTTGGAAGAAGTTCAGGAATAACACAAGAAACCACATCCGTGAGCAAGTCCAGAGAAACAACCTGTAAAACTGAAGTACAGCTTAAGAAAACTGCCATTTCAAACAAATTATAAAATACTCTCCCAGGAGCTTCCCTGGACCAACCATGGCCGGCAACATGGTGGGGTGCAGGGCAGGTGCTAGAAGTGACATAAATCCCTTTTCTCCTGTCCATAACCCAGATTTTAGGGACAGGAGCTGAGGGAAAGCTCCCACCTGACAGGTTGTGTGGCCCTGGGTTCCTTCACATCCCCCTCTGCAGCTGTGGCTGCTGCTGCCAGGCCAGGCTGTTGGACAGAGGAACCCTGCCTTGCTCACCTGGGGCAGCTCCTGGCCCCATCAGACCTTCTGAGGGGTTCAGTGAGGCAGGAACCAACTGTTTTGTAATGCTTAGCAGGGCCAAATAGATAATTAAAAAAGATAAAAAGATAATTAAATTTGTCTGTAATAAAAGCTCTGTTAAAATTGTGATTGCTGTTACTGACTATCCCCTAAATTTTGGCAGACAAGACCTAACAATTTTCAAATGCATTTAGGTTTAAAAACCCCAGAAACAACCCCATCCCAGTCCCTGAGTGTGCAGCGAGGGCATTGCAGGCCCTGCAGCCCCACAGGTGCTCCAGACAGACTGTGGGTCTGTCCCCTGGGGATTCTGGCATGAAAAAGAAAAAAAAAAAATGTTGGCCTTTCTCCTTACTCAGAAGCTGTTCTGTTTGCCAGCACTACTCTGGGTTTTGCTCCACATTCCTGGAGAGGTGCTGGAAAAGGCCCCTGCAGGAGCGTGGCCTCGCTGGGGTTCTGTGTGGGGAACTGGTCAGACTGGGCAGCACTGGGGCTGCAGGTGTGGGTTACARAAGCTGTGCTGGCCCTCTGCTCCCTCCCACACCTCAGGAAAGCAGGGTGGATATTTTCTGTGTTTCTGAGTGTTTGAGGAACCCAGTGCTGTTTGCTCTTAGCAATGCASTCCTGGATGGGATTCCATGATCAATCCTTCCTGCCCAGTGTCAGCTGTGGGCAGAGCTGTGTCTGGAGGCCGTGCAGTGGCACTTGTATGAAGGGGTGGGACAGTCACCRAATGGTCAGCTCTGGCCAAATGTCCCTGGGCTGCCACTGCCTGGGACAGCAGCAGTGCTGRGGCTGTGGGGGGAACAKCCCAGKGCAGGGTTGGGCACCAAGTTSTGTGTCACCTCTGCCTSRAACAGCTTTGCCCTGCCCTGGCAGCCCAGCTCCCTGAGCCCACCCTGCTCCCTGTCTCCTCAGTTGGTTTTCCAAGCCCTCGGGTTCCTCTCCTGCCCCTGAGCTCTGCTCTCTCYGGGTCTGGCAGCTGCTGCTCTTTCAGCTCCTAAAATGCTCTGCATAAACTGAACCCCTCTCTCTGCTAATGCCTCCTGTTCCTAAAACGTGGTGGGGAGGGGGACTCTGAATTGCCAACCCAGAGTGCTTTTTGTGCCCWGTCCTGGGCACATGTTAAGATATCTGAAGAACTTGATGGTTGTTTGAACATTGGCTTTATTATTTATTTCATTTTATTTTAGTTTTTAGCAATCTCGCTAGGGTGGCTAATCAACTAATTGATTTAATTCATTAGTATATTAATTTCTATTGCTTTCTTCCTTTCAAATGCTGCCCCTCAGCCCGTCTGGCATGTTTGATTATGACTTTGAGTAAGTTTGACTTGAATTAGTACTTGTGCTGTGTTGTTAGTGTGTAGACACCGATGTGCCTTTTGAGACCTCGCTAACCCCTAGTTTATCTGTTTAATTGTAGGTATGTATATTAGGTTAGGCTGGGAAGTTTTTTTTAAAAACAGAAAAGCGTGATGGAGGTAACATTTTATTTAATAACTTCAGCAAATTATAAATTAACTTCACTCTTCTTTACCTTTCTGTTTCATATTTAAATTGATAAAACTTTTTAATTTTAAAACTTAGTTTAAAAACTGATCCTTTTGGCTTTGCTGCTTAAGGAGATCAGYATAGACTTGGATATTTCCTTCTGGAAAAATGTACTAAGCTCAATACCTTTGGCTCATATAATCCCTGTCATCCTAACTCCTCTCTCTATCCAAGTAAATAATTCTCACACTATGTCTGGATAATTACCTGTGGCATAGTTACACCGCTGACAGATTGAATTAACATAGAGCATGCCTAGTTCCCCTTGTTCACCTGCTTCAGTGCCCTGTGATTGATTGTGCCCCTTGATTAACTCTGTCTGGGAGTGGATGGAATCTGCTTTTTGACAAATAATAGCGACTCCACTCTCCTGTGCTGTTCTTGTGCCCAGTAACCCTGGGACAGCGCCCTGGCTCAGCCAGGATTGGGAATGGATGGATTAACCGTAGTCTCTGTCGTAGCTGTGCCCTGTGCAGTAGCTCTGGTGTCGGGTCAGGTATTGACATGGACGTTTCTCTTGTCTTTTCCAACCACAGGATTGATCTCAAGTTAAACAAAAAGCCAAGAGCCGTAAGTATCCGTGCTCTGTGTTTTTGTTGCTCACTGGAGGGGCTGGCTGACTCCCAAACTTAAAAAACCCTCCCTCTGCTGGTGTCGTTTAAGTTCTTATTGTCATGGTTGAGGAGTGTCACAGTGTGAGATCAGCATTRTCCCCTGGCTGTAACAGCAGCTGAGCCCAGGTGGGCTGTTCTGTAACAGGAACTCCTGTGTGCTTCTCATGGAAAAAGCTGCTTTGCATCCTGTTACCTTGTCATGATCTGGAGCATCAAAAGCATCTGGTTTGACTTGGAAAGTCAAAGCACCTTGGTGCTCAAGGCTGGAAGGGTCCTTCTTTTCAATGTTTTGCTACAAAAAAAAAAAATCTGTTTTGCCTGCAACTAATGGTGTGAGAGATGAGAGAGTACTGAGACCCCCCCCAGCTCTGAGAGCAGAATTGGAGGTGGGAAGTGTTAATGTGCCTGTGCTGTCCTTTCTCTGCAGGACTACTAAAGCCATCAGTGCTGATGCTCCTGGGATTTAGGTCTGTGACTCCCCACTGAGAAGCCCTGAAGCAGGATGGCAGCTGCAGCAGGAGTGACTCACTCTAAGGGACTTGGATGGGGGGAGGAAATCCTGGACCATGTTCTTTGCATCATTTTTTTAATCACCTGAGTTGCAGGAAGACAAAGGTGGTGTAGTAGTTGTAGTAGTCCTGAATTCCTGACTGTTCTGTGCTTCCACCTTGGTCGGGAACTTCCTGAAATGGCTGATACTGCTGCACCCCTGTCACCTGCAGCCCCACAGAGAGGCATTTCCTTTTCCACTGGAACTGGGGTAGGATTCAATGTGTCCCATCCGTGTTGTGAGACTTAGAATACTTTYGTTGCTGATATTTAGCTTTGTAGATCTGTTTTTGTTTTATTTTGTTGGTTTTGTTGTGCCTTTTTTAAAGCTGAAGTGTATAGTTACAAGTTGACTTTGAGTTTCTTTGTTTAGTCCGTGTAGTGGAAGGTTCCTTATTTTGTGGAGCAGCTCTTGATTCTTACCCAAAGAGAGAAGAAGGTAGTTTAACCCTTTTCTCTTACTTCCATTTCAAACTCCATCTCCTGATATTCCCCAGTGTGTTAGGTGCAGGAAGGGCCAGAGCTCAGAGCCAACTCTTCACTGTCACTGACTTTGAGTGGATTCTCTTTTTAATACAAACTTCTGTCATTTGTACATAAACAATAAAAGTTCCATATTTGTCTCTTCTCATGGTTTATTCAGTTCAAACTTTGACTCCTGGTGCTTTTTAGTCTCCACCTGCTTTATAAGGACTTTGCTGGAATTCTTCCCCTTTGGCACAGGTTCACTTGGTGCTTTCTCTCCTTGGGGTGGCTGAGTGCTGCAGGGAGTGCCAGGCTCTAATCTCCATCTGTGTTTGGCTGATCCTGGGACATCCTGGGATGTCTGTGGTTCTGCTGCTGAGGGCAGATTGCTTGTAGATGAAGGATGAGCCAGCTGGATTGTCCCTGGAGCATGACAGAGGGGTGAGGGACAGGTGTTTCACACAGCAGCCAGGTCAGGATTTTGGTGGTCTTGAGCTGAGCTTTGCTTCACTTAGAGTGGGGAGTTTCCTTTTTTATCGGTGCTGGGATGTGTTTGTGCAACCCCTGCTGGAGAGAGACGTTGAAAAGGGGCTTTGGGAAAGGGGCCATGGAACAGGGGTGTCACTGAGCCCCTGGAGCGTGCACAACCCTAGGAACAGCCAAGGGTTGGTGTGTTCTGCTGCACTCTGGGGTTTGGGGTCTCCCTCAGCTCTTTCCAGGCTCCCCAGTCTGTGCAGGGCAGGGCCTGAGCCAAGGTGAGTGCGCAGGAGCAGAATTCTCTCTCCCTTGGGCTGTGTCTGATCCGGGATCAAGGCAGCTCCGTGTTTGTTCCCGGAGGGAGCTGGCTTATCCCACAGGGAGCTGGCTTATCCCACAGGGAGCTGTGTCTGCTCGGGGACTGCGGCTGCTTCTTCACGGGGGGGTCGGGATGGGGCAGCTTAAAGCCAAGCTGCAAAGCCGGCCTACTTCTGTGTGTTTTGATTTACAGAGGTTAAATACAGAGGGGTGGAAGATGCAGGAARCAGCATGAACTACAAGGCCTTGCTCCTCCATAGTTCTTGAAAAAAGAATTCTCAGCTGATGGTTTTGATTCCCTGGCCTCTGTACAAAAGCAGTTYTGATCCTGCTGCTCCAAGCAGGGATGGCTGGAGCACCTGGACCTCAGAGGCTGAAGTCTCTGCTGCACCTCTGACCTCAAGGAAAGCTGCCAGGCTTTGTTGGGCAGARCATTTTGGAGAAGCAGCAAAGGGCTGGAGCCCTATGTGCAGGCAGGCTGCGTGGCAGGGTCAGTCAGCTCCGTGTTGGGACACACCGGGGTGCTGCAGGGACAATGGGAAATTCAGCCATTCCTGCCTCCAGCTGTGTTTGTCACCAAAGGAGGGGACAGTCTGTTCTGCCCAGGTCGATGTGGGATGGCAGCAGCCTGGGGGGAGCATGTTGATCGGGACAGAAAGGGAAATAGCAAACACTTTATTCAGTTAAAGGGTCAGCTGTTCCCTGCTGTGTCCTGACTCAAGCAGTTGTGCCTAAAACTTCCATTTGGTTTCTGAACAGTTCTATTTCCTGAAGAGCCTGAGTGACTAAATACCCCCAGGATGGCCAGTGCCTGGGCACAGGAATCAGAGGGAGCTGCACAGGCTTTACCTGGCTGCTAATTAAAGCTAAAAGTGGTTAGAAATACATCCCAAGTCCTTTGCTTGTGATGAGTTAGATCCTGAGCAAAGAAAAATGTACAAGAGCAGCCACTGCCCTTATGGACCCCAAAGGTGGAGCGTTAGGGGAACGCTAATCCCTGCACGGCCTCGTCACCAAGAGGATTAGGCAGGAGTTCATCTGGTCGCCGAGGGGCAGGAGGGGCCGCGCCCGGTGCATGGCGGGGTAAGGGGCAGAGGGGAGGGGGCGGCGGGGGTCCCGCAAACACTCGGGGGTCTGTCCCTCTCGCTGTCCCGGCTGATGGCGAGTCGGGACAGCCCCTTGGCATGTGCTGGCATCGCTGCTCCGGTGCGCGGGGCTGGGAGCGGCTCTGCAGCCGTGTGTCCGCTCCGCAGGTGCCATGGGCCGGCAGCGCGCACCGCCCGCGCCCCGCTGGAGGAGCATCCTGCGCTCCGCCTGCTCGGGGCTCCTGGCGCTCTGCGGGACGGCGCTGCGGGGGCTGCGGGGGCTCTGGAGCCTGGCCTGGGTCGGTACCGCACAGCCCCTTCCCCAGGGATCACCGCACACCTCTGCTTGCTCCAAATGTGGCGTGTGGTCAGAGCCAGGGCAGGGGTGCTGCTGGGGTGCAATCCCTGCTGCCGGGGCTGTTTGTGGGGTGCAATCCCTCTACCGCTGCTGCTGGGGCTGTTTGTGGGGTGCAATCTCTGTGCTGCTGCTGGGGCAGTTTATGGGGTTCAATCTCTGTGTCACTGCTGCTGGGGCTGTTTGTGGGGTGCAATCCCTCTACTGCTGCTGCTGGGGCTGTGTTTGTGGGGGAGTCAATCTCTGTACCACTACTGCTGGGGCTGTGTTTGGGGTTCAATCCCTGTACCACTACTGCCAGGGGTGTGTTTGGGGTTCAATCTCTGCACCGGTGCTGCCAGGGCTGTTTGTGGGGTTCAACCCCTGTGCTGCTGCCAGGACTGGTGTTTGTGGGGTTTGTTGGTTTGTGGGGCAGCTGGAGCACGGGGAGGGTGTCACCACAACAGCTGGCAGTGGGATTTGGACCCTTTTCCCGGGGAGCTGGTTCTTGGCTCAGGGTGCTGTGTTTGTGGCCAMCAAGAGCACTGGGAACACCGGGGCATCGCTCCAGGCTCTGCACTCTGCAGGGCAGGTGTGAGCCGTCCTCTCCCCAGGTCCTGCTCATCTGCTACAAGAGTTGGTGGGACAGCGCCTTCCAGGTCACCGAGGAGGTAATTCCCCCCTATGCTCCCACCCTTTGGGGACCGCGGTGCTCGTCACCCCCCGGGACACAGCTGAGCCCGGTGACACGGCCCATTGGGGGGCACGAGGGGAGCTCCCCAGACAGGGCTGGTGCCATCTGGACTCCGCTGCCCACCGATCTGTCAGTGCCCACTGTCCGTGTTGGCTTCCAGCTCGGCACAGCCCTGCAGCTGAGACTAGAGGGGAGTGAGGAGCAGGAGGATGGGGACTCAGATTCTGCGCTGGAAGCTGCCCAGCCAGGTGTGTCCCTGGCCCAGGGGTGTCTCTGGGGCTGGCAGGTGTCCTGGGGGCCTGGCAGGAGCTGAGCTGTGGTGCCAGGGCAGTGCTGGGGCAGCAGCAGCAGCRTGGTGATGCCAGCGAGRYSGTGCTGGGGAGGCTGGAGGCGCTGGAGGCCGATGTTCGCTTCSTCTGCACGGAGCTGGGGGCGGAGAAGCTCCTGTGGAGCAGCCGGTTCCTGGAGCTGCTGCGGGAGCAGCAAAGCCTGCGCCAACGGGTGAGTTCCCTGCGGGGTCCCAGCCCCCTGAGCCCCCTGTGACAGCCCAGACCCTCACACCCTGTGCCAGCTGCAGGAGCTGCCCTGGCAGTGGAACGGCGGCGACAGCCCCGAGCTGCCGGGGGAAGCAGAGGACCAAAGTGCCAGTGGGAGCGAGGGAGAGAGCCCWGAAGGTAGGGGCTGGGGCTGCAGGGGGCACAGGGAGTAGTTGGGAAGGGGGGACCTGCCATCAGAGCTGGGGATGGGACAAGGTGCTGACCTCTGCTACTGGGCAGTGGGGAGAACTCACCAGCTCCCATGCACTGGGTGGCACGGGGCAGCCTGGGGGGGTACCTGGGAGGAGGGTGCTGGGAAAGGTTTCCAGTTCTCTGTACCAGCTCCCACCAGGAGCCTGGCTGGGTGCTTCCACTGGCATCCCTTCTCTCTTTTGCTCTGTTCAGGACGCCGGTGGATGGAGCCACCACGGCAACCACGTGGCTCCATCCAGTTGGACAGGCAGAAAACGTGAGTGTGAGTGTGAGCAGGGCCTCAGCGAGCTGGGAAGGATGCACATTCCTCCCTGCCCAGGCCTTGCAGGACACAGGCCAGGTCAGTCCCAGCTGAACCCCTGTATGTGCCTCCATCCCTCGGTGCTGGCCRGGCCCAGCCCCATCCAGCAGGACTGCAGCCCTTTCCCGGGGGCAGGAGCCAGCTGGGAGGAAGGTCAGGACGAGCTGCTGGCTCTGGGTCTGCCCCAGGACACATCACAGCCCTCCCTGCCCAGAGCCACCCCTGGGCTGGCTGTGCTTTGTGGGGGCTGCCTCTGGAGCCCACCGAGGAGCATCCCCAGCTTTGCTGCACCTTGGGAGGTTCCAGGAACAAGGAGTGTGGCCAGCACCRGCTTCAGTCACCTTGCACTGGGGTGAAGGAGTGCAAAACTCACGCGCTGACTTCCTCATCGGCCACATCCATCCTCTCCATCAGCTGCTCCCACATGTCACAACCCTGGGCTAACTCCTTGTGCAGTGGTCAAGGGCAGCCGGCTCCTGGGAATGGCAGAGGGGCCCTCATYGTCCACAAGAGCTCAGCCCGGGATGCTGAGCCTCAGGAGCTCCCCTGCAGGGCTGAGGGGCTGCCCCATGCCTGGATCTGGTCCAGCACCGGGGGCTGACCCTGCCCTGGGCTCCCACTGTTCAATACAGGCAGCTGCTTTMCATCCGTTGTGTCTGTCTGGTCTTTCCCTGCTGCACAGTGCCCTGCAGCAGCCCCAGCTCTTTGGGGACAGAGAGAGGAGACCTCTTGCTGAAGCACAGCAGRGGCTGGGGACAGGCTCCAGCAGCGGGCAGGACTGGCAGGGATCTGTCCTCCCAACGTGCCCGTGCAGCTCCCACGTACAGGGAACTGATGCAACACAAATAGCAGCGGTCTGACTCACCCTGCACCCACCTGGCCCCGCTGCGGTGGAGSTGGGACAGCCCCGCGCTGCTCAGAAATACCAAAGTAAACCAGGTCCTGCAAATGAGCTGCTCTGGGGCCCTGCTGCTGTAAAACCCCAGCCACAAGCTGGAATCACAGCAGCACCCATGCTAGGAGACCACGGGAGCACCAGACAAGCTCCCCTCCCTGCTGCAGCCACCATTTACCTCTCCCGTGGCAATTCTTGTGCTGGAAATCCCCAGCCAGCCTCACAGAGTGCAGGAGGGGGAAGGTGACATCAAGCAGTGTTAGCTACAGCCAGCAGCYCCTCACCAGAGCAGCTGCAGCAAGGTGAGAGCACCACACAGCCCACGGAAACCTTTCCCAGCCACCATGCCATCCAAAGCCTCCTGACCCTATTGCCTAACCTGGGGCTCTATTTACTCCAACACACTTGTGCAACATTGCTCCCTAGTCCTGGCCAGGGGCCTCAGAGGCTTTGTCAGCAGGGCTGAGCTGGTGGCTGCTACCCCAGACAGGGCTTTGGCTTCCAGGGACAGCCCCTGGCCTTGGGGAGCACGGGGGGCTTCAGGCCCTTAGGAGGAGGTGAGAGAACTGAAAAGGGTGGGGCTGGAGAGCCAGTGCTGACAGCATCTGCCCAGGTAGCAGCACCATCCCCATCCCAATCCCATCCCAATCCCATCCCAGTCTCCCCACCTCCTTCCAACCCACCGCCCTGGGGCAGCCCCCAGCTCTGCTTTTGGTTCTCTGTGTGCCATACTTGGCAGTTACTCACCCTGCAGTGCTGTCTTACAGGGAAGCTGTGCTGCAGAAGCAGTTTGGGGTACAGGGTGCAGAGCTGCTGCCATGCTTGGGACACCCCTTAGTGGGGAGAGCAGCCGCCATGCAGCCTCAGCATTGGGGGAACACAGTGGGTTGGTGCTGAACCTGCTCCCAGGTACAGCACGTACATAACCACCCCTGGATGGCACCCACAGCCTGCACAGGAACTTCGGGTCAGATTCCTGCCTCTGAAAACACGCTAAAATGTTAGAACTGAGCTAGCCACATCCTAGAAACCCCCAACGGCAGAAACCAGCTGGGTTTAAATGGAAGCTCAGGGAGCAAGGGCAGCGGTGCTGGGGAGAGGTGAGCAAGCCCTGGAGAGCAGAGTGGGCTGCTTGGAGGAGCAAGCCTCTCCTGAAGCTCAGCACGAGGCTTCAGTGGCACACAGCCGACAGGATGAGGGCTGGGAAGCCCCTGAGCACAGGAAACCTTCAACAGGCCCATGTGTGACCTCCTTCCCTCCAGCAGCACRGTGAGCTGACACGCAGACCTGACCCATTTTGTCTCGCTCAGGAACACAAAGCAAACACCCAGCAGTTATGGCAGGCTCTGTCCCCAAGCCCCAGAAGTGCTGAGCCAAAGGATGCACCCCAAAAACTCTACCTTGACAGTCCCAGCAGGGCTGCCAAGGTGTGCAGGCGAGCAGCTCCACCACTCCTGGCACTGTGGAGTGTGTAGGGGKGAAAAATGTGAGGCAGCAACAGTTCAAACCAGTATTCCCACTTCCCTAATTTCTGGCACCACAGTGAGCTTGGGAAATGGGGACACAGCACCTTGTGTGAATGAAAGAGAGAACTCAGAGAACAGCAATGGGATTGTGGCTGTGCTGGCTTGCTGCCCCRGCAGCACACAGCAGTTTGGGGAAGTAACTTTGACCAGATCTGTGCTAGGGCTTGACCCTCCCAAACTGTTCCATGTGCCTCCAGGACCATCACTGCAATAGAAACAGCACAACCAGAATCAGGCACCAGCAGCTCTGTCTCTACTGGTTGTGATCATGAACCTCTGCATTGATTCCTTTGTGTCTCAGTGCAGCTTTGGGAGAAGCAAAAATAAACCTCTACCTTTTCTAAAACTAGAAATGCCTATTGTCTTTTAGAAGAAAAYCAGCCTTAAAAACCTGCTGCACTGTTCAACTCCAGACCCCATTATGGACAGCAGCAAACTCCTCACCTGGTTAAAGGTGTGCTCAGATCCCTGCCACACCACTCCATCCTCCCCCACCACCCACACACAGAGCCACGTGAGCTCTGGCACTGCAATAACGTTTTCAGAGGGTTCTTCTCCCACAGTCAATAAAGATCTTTCTGACTGTGAGGTTGCAGGTTTGTTTTGAAATGCAGCTGATCTTTAGGAGTACCTGCCTCCYTGGTTTCTGATTAACTAGAGTCATTGCCCTGTGGTAAATGAAGAGCACAAGTTTCAATACAGACCATAAAGTTATTTAACCAGTGAGATAAGAACGTGCTGTGCTGCAGTGGAGCAGCTGGGAGGGGAAGATCCTTACACCACAATGCRAGCACTGATATTCCCACTGCAATTCCCTTTCAGTCCATAACAAATGTTCAGAGCAAAGTCTGGACATGTTACCATTCGCATACTCCACATCAACATCTGACACAGATGTACTGTAACTGGATAAAATATGAATTTATTTCCAGACTGTACTGTGGAATTGCCCCTTAAAGCCACAGTCCATGCTGATTCCAAAATTCCAAAATTCAGGTGCTTTAGCAGCTGAAACACCTACACTGTGGTGCTGAGTGAGAGCCAGCACTGCTGCTTGTCCCACCTCCCCTGCCAGCGCCRGCCCTAAACACTGAGCAACCCCAAGAAAGGCAAATAAACAGAAACACTGCATATGCTCTTATCTGCCACAGCACACGGGTGTTTTGGTCTCACTGCATCGATTAACAGCCTGTCAATAACCAGCCCTCAGACTGCACAGAGATCAAAGCCTGTCAGAGGAACCCTGGGGAAGAAGGATAATTTCTCTTTCCTGGAAAGCCATCCAAAATGTTGAACTTTTCCTCCACAAAGGCAGCAGAGACCAAATATGTCAACTCAGCAGTTTTTATTTATATAACATAGCTCTTCCTTTGCTATGGCTGTCACATGGTTATTCAGTACACGACTATACTGCATAGTGATAGAGAAAGTTCAGCAAGTGTCAGCTGGGGAGTACAAAATGTTAATCTTCTCATTGCAAGAGAGGCAGCAGATACCAGCATTCCACCAGAAATCCAAACCCACCTCACCAAGCAACGCATGGCTGAGGTGAGAACAGCACTGATTAAAACTGCAAGGTGCTGAATAACATTAAAAACCATTTTTTTTCTGTAATTTACAAATATGCAAAGTATCAGGTTACTTAAAATTAAGAAGCATTTTGCTTACTAACATGAAACATTACTAATTTGTAATGTATCATTATTAACCAGGTATACAGGTTTCTGTGTCCCTGTGGTCTCATGGCACATGGTGCCAGTCTGGACAGGTCATTCCTCGGACATCAGAGGGAAGAGCAGGAATAGACAACACTGTTCCCAGGAGGRTTTCAGGACCAGCTGCATTCCACTCTCTCCTTCGTAATTTGCCACTCAACGACCTTGGTTTAACCACAGAAGGGCGTATTGTATTTAGAAAACAACAACACACACAGATACAATGTGTATCAACAAATCAACTGCTTCTGGCCTGCAAGTGCCAGGAATATTTCTGCATCCCGAGCACAGCAAAATTCCAGGACCAGAACCAATTACTACAGCAATTGGTTTTTTTAAATTGCATATTTAAAATCTCTTACAGTACCTACAATAGAAAATATTTTACAGAGTAAGAGTAAATGAGACAGGAACAGTCTTGCCACGTAAGTCTTATTCTACAACTCTGGATGCTGCTCTAGTTGGGAACAGCCAAAGGGGATGGAAATATTGGTGAAGAAGATAAAGCAACAGCTTTAAGAATGCCTTGGGGTGAATTTATGATGATATTCTATTCCTGATCATCTGCTTTATGCCCAGAAATGGGTCCTGYAGCTTTAAGGYRGGTYCCAGAGTGGGSTGGCAGCCAGKGGGGCTCTGTGGGCTTTGTTCAAGCTCACTTTGGGTTTGCAGCACATATGGAGTTACACTGCTGCTTTAGCTAGCTTGGTTTTTGWCAGMTTARGCAAGAAGTTTCTTTCCCTGGACTGCAGTAGCAATCCTCTGGCAGCTTCTGTTTCTCCTGGGACTGTTCAGCTTGGTTTAGTCTGAGAATCAGACTATCAGCAGGCATTGGTGGGTGCAGACCTGCTGGGAAGCTGTGCCCCATCTCAGCCCAGACCTCAGGAGAAGCTGAACCAAGGAAAGAAAGGACTCTAAATCCACCAGCTTCATGTGCTGCGAGGAGGAGACCAACGTCAGAAGTTCACCAGCTTCCTATTTGGTTTTCCCCTCGAGCTCCTCCATGGACTTTCCACCCCGAGACAAAACCTTCCGCTATTTTGTTCCTTTTTGCCACGTGCTCCGTAGTTTTTCCCTTCCCCTGGCATTTTGGGTTGGTTTGTTCTGCTGTGGGTAGGGGGGGGCGGGTAAGGTTCTGATGGTTCAACACCTAACATTCTTTTTTCCCTTGCCTCACAGGCACCCTGTTTGTTAAATAAACAGGTTTTTTCACTTTCATCCAGAAAACTCCTTTTGTATCAGTGGAAAGGGATTGCTGAAACCCTTTTCTTTAGGGGAAACATTCATTCCAGAGCATTTCCTCTAAAAATTGTCTCTAAACTGAGACACAGAGAAAAATATTAAAGACTCCTCAGGAAGGGCCCTTGACAGCAGTCCAGATGTGACTGCAGCTGTCCTATTGCTGTCTGAAACAAAAGGCACATATAAATCCTTGTCAGTACAGAGCCAGCTTGGGACAGGGACCAGGGACTGTTCAGAGGTGTGCTGACAGCATGCTCAGCTCACCCACCTGCTCTGACACTGCATTTCTCAGCACATGCCCCACACACAACTCACACACAGCTCTGGAGCAGTGTCCAGCTGCTCCTCCTGAGCCAGGATTGTGCTCCTGGCTCCCAGAAGCTCACTAAGCACTTGTGGTCCACGTGGCACAACTGCCTCRCCCCAGGAAGATAAGCTGAGGTGGGAGGGATGTGGAAAGCATCGTTCAAGAAGTGCACCAGTAAAACCAGCCAGATAAACTCAGCTTCAGATAACACTAATAACCCAACATTTGCCACAGATCTCAATGGTGGGATTTAGAAAAGAGACTTAGTTAGGGACTACCAACAACAGCACTAACAAGACATTTGGGTCTTCAGAAACTAGCCTTAGGCCACTACAAAGGCAGCACCCATCTCTCTCACATCCAGTTATGGACAACTGCAGGAATTCAGAGTGTGCCAGACTCCCATGAACCCCAAARGAACAGTCCTGCTCTAGAGCTGCAGCCTCCCTTCCTGCTTAGCAGCCCCTGGAAAAGGTGGGACCCCAGGGTGTTCTCACCTCTCCCACAGGCATGCTGACAGAGCTAGAGCAGAATCTGCTGTGAGCACACCACATCTGGATCCAGCCTCCAGCTGGAGCCTGGAACTTCCAAAGGAATAAGAWGGAGCAGTCAGAAGGCATCCATGGCAGCTGCAGAGGCAAAAAAAGCCCCTCAAGCTCTCCCCAGGCCTGGCTGCCCTTGACACCTGCCTCACATACCTGGGTTCTGTGCCTTGTAGGTGAGAATCTCTGCTGCCAACCTCTGTGGGTCCAGCAGCCGTGGGAAGCGGCTCATCACAGCATCGACCAGGTGTGGGTGGAAGATGCCACACAGCTTGGTGTGCACGCTGGCCCTCTCCTCAGCAAACTGCTCCGAGCCAGCCCAGGGCCCTGAGTCCCCATAGGCCGGCRCGGGGGCCCTGTGCACCGTGCGGGGGTCACGCACACCCGGGGATCGCACCTGAGGCAGCGGGTACGGCTCAGACCAGAACTCCCGTGAGTGTGGTGTGGTGGCACTGAACTCACTAGGCAGGCTGTACTGCCCTGCCCCTGCACCACCTGGGTGTACAGGCACTCCATAGCCTGAGAAAGAGTGGGGGGCTCCTGAGTGAGACATCTCAGGGCTGTACTGCAAGAAGCTAGCACCAGAGGAAGAAGATTTATGGGAGCCGTGCTTGTAAGAGACCAGACCATTCTGCTCTAAGCTGGGAGAATGGGGGTAGACAGGTCTCTGCCTACCACAGGTGCAGACAGCCAGCTGCTCTGCGTGGGAAGGGTCACAGTGACTGGTACATCTGTGAGGCCACATGTCAGACAGCTGGTTCTCCAGAGACCCAATRCCTGAGTCGAGATGCTCCTGAGAGATGTAAGAGAGAGAGTCCATGTGAGGCTGYTGGTACCTGTCAGGGGAGACACTGCCTGACACACAGCCTTTGGTGTGAAGCGGAATGTCGCTGGGCTTGGCTTTGTGGACCAAGCTCTTCCTCTCTGCAGAGACCTTCTGCAAAGAGCYTTTGTCACTCTCCATGGGCACAGAGCACAAGAGCTCTGCCTGGGAACCCTTTTTGCCCTTTTTCTCCTCCTTGGCACTGGTACTTCTGGTTGGAGACAGCCTTGCATTGGCRCGGAGTTCGTCAGCTAATGAGCGCTGGGGCTGGTTGATCCTTTCAGGATGGTAGAACTTACACTTAATTCCATAAGTGCATTTTTTCCCTGYAAGGAAAGCCAGAACATGGAATGACCAGCTGCATTTGACTAGATTATGCATGACACTTACACAGACGCCTTGTTCTTCACATACATAAGACAGGCCTTACCATAAGGGCATTGCTGCTTTTTGTGCTCTGGAACTACAGGTTTCTTCCTGAGGAAGTTGTCCAGGCTGGGGCCATGACGCCCTAAGGGATCATCTGGAGGCATAAACCTAAAGAAAAACATATCTCAGTCAGGAGCAGCTCACTTTTTTGGGTTGATGCTTGGTTTCTTCTCAATTGAAGATCAAAAGTTATCTGAGCCCTATGAAGCTCTCCCATTTCTTGCACAGATAACCCTCCCGCCACCCAGTCCACCCCAGCACAAAATGTTTCCCTTGAGGCACAGGAGAGGTTTAATGCTTGGTTGTTGATCAGAATTAGTACCTGCTGCTGAGCCTGCTAACAATTGTCCTGTGAGAAAATTGCACCCTGAAGCTCTCCTTGGAGCTCCTAGCTCCAAACTATGAGCAGCTACTGAGATGCCACAACTCCTTTTTCCTTGTATCCTACAACTTTTCTTTATTTCTTTACCAGCATTTTGCTCTTTTCATGCATCCCTTGTATTGCTCCATCAGAACAAGCAGCACACTCACACAGATCTTTCATAAAAGCCCAGGAAAGATGTCATACTTGTCATTAACAAAGGAATACATCAGCAGACGCTCCTCGATGAATTTCTTCCACTCGGGACGCTCGTTCTGCAGGTCCCGGTAGGTGTCGTTGGACACGACAATGCCATCAGACTCGTGGGCCAGTTTGACAATGAACCGGTCATCGTAGCACACCACRCGCTTGCCCCCGACCCGCCGTGATGGGGTGAACACCAGGATCTTCTTCTTCTCAAGGTCACGCAGAATGTACTGGTCTAGAGCAAACACAACTGTGAGCACACCTGCACAGCCCAAAGGCCTTTGCGTGGATAAAGTAATATCATAAATGAACAAAAAAATCAATGGGAAGTCATTCCATCCCTCCACAACCCAGACTGTACTCAATCCTGCTCACTGCTGTTCTGAGTGACTCAGAAATCTGAGCTCTTTCCAAGTTCAGCGCAAACTCCCCWCAATTTGAATAATTCTGGCTAAATATGCTTCAGTTAAATACAAAGCACAAAGTGCTTTGCAAGAGGAAAAAAATCCCTGCAAGAGGAAAAAATTCAAGACATAAAGGACAAGAAGTTAGGSAGCAGAGCAGTACTACTACATTCCCTGTTCTCTGAATTATTCCAACTGATTCAGGCAAAAGCTGGCTTAGGGGAAAAGTTAATGACTAATTCTCCCTGGTCAGTTCAGCTCACTGCATCTCCTACTACTCAGACTTTCCATTCTGAAGTTAATTACTGACTTAGCCAGAACTCTGCAAGCTCACTAAGTTGACAGACCAGTCAGCCAGAAAAGCTACTTTTGGTTTTCATATTTTCACACCTGTTATGAGCACATCTGGTCGGGGCTGCTCCTTCCTCCACGATGGCACAAAGACTGTAATATCCTTGTGTCCCCTGTCCCAGAACCATTGGACAGCCAGAAGGATACCTCGGCAGGAGAACACTTCTTTATTCCCATGGCTGCATCAAAGGAGGAAATTAAGACTTTAATTCCTTCATTATTCAGTACAGACTTGTCAGGCARTGCATAGAGCAAAGGGAGCTGGCAACTCGGACAAGCTTCAGTAGTGCTGAGGAGCACAGGCAGCAAACACAGGGGCTTGTCTTGTGTAACAACACTCTCACTCAGACCTGCCCAGCACCACTGTTCATTTCAGCCCCTCGGAATACCAGTAAACACCCAAATACTCATTGGGAGGGAGGGAGACAGAAGTTGGAACTGTTGCAGCTGCTCTGAAACAGCCTCTACTTCAACCCTGGACTTCTGATGGTTATTTTTAGCCCAGAGCACAATGTGATCCAAAACCCCTTTGTGCAGCTCTGACAGCTAATGCCAGTGGCTGGTCCCTGCCAGGGTGCAGTGTACCCTGATCGGGGGTTTGCTTGCAGAATCCTTCCAATCGCTTCAGGAAAACAGATTTTATACACTTTCACCTCAAAGAAAGATGATTCATTCCATTATGGCTCAAAATCTCTTCTACAAATGCACTATTTGCACAAAATGGCAACATTTCCTGTGATCTGTGCTGGGTGAGTGAACACCTCATGGCAGTTGGAGAACAAAGTTTGACAACTTGGTCAGAAGCCAAATACTGATGCAAAAAGCTTATTAATTATTCATKAGGTCATATCAATAAGTTTCCAGAACTTCTACGAGGAAACTGCCCCTCCTGTTTCACAAGCACYAGTATTTACAGTGCAATCAACTCTTCTGCTGATAATGGCTCTGGCAAATTTTCAGTATTTATATTCCAGCCTGATTCATCACTCTGGGGATCCAACTGCCTGTGTTCTGTGACAGCATCCTGGGAAGATGCTCTACACCAAAGGAAACTGCTCTCAGAGGTCAGGAAATTTTTTCTCACCTGGCCACTACCAGTCCCAAGTGCTACTCTTATCATCTACCCCTGAATTACATTTCAGCTCCCAGCACCCCTTGGAATGGCCCCTCACAGCAGCCATTCCTGCACAGGCACTGTTGCAGCACCACYACCAACTTCACTTCCCCTCCCAGCCTCACCCTTTCTTTGAAACTACAAAGAAAGTTGCAAGGCTGTACAAAGGTACTTATTCTAAAAGAATTAAACACTTGGCAACAGAACTAACATCTAAAGAGACTCTAACATACCTCCAATAAGAATCCTAAATTACAGAAGGCTGACAATCACAATCACAAGATGCTCTAAAAGTTTTCTCCAATATCAGATGGATTTAGCTATAAATAGCCAGGSACAGGTTACTGTAATCTTCTAGAGATAAATGAAAACCAGATGCTTTTTGGTAATTTTTTGGGGGGGGACTGTTGATTGTTATTTACTTTTTGAGTCCCTGCTACCAACCTCAAATCTCCAGAAGGCAGCTAATTGGGCTGATCTGATCTGGCAGCAGCCAAGGAAAAATTCCCTCAGAAGGAAGTAAAAACTAATTTCCACTATGATTTGCATAAGTTTGTCAAGAGCTGTTGAGGGAGGCCACGGTACACATTGCAAATGAATCAGCAGGGAACATCACACCATCAATACAGGAAGTTTCAGAATGGAATTCCCCTTCTAGCAAATTGCTTAAATAAAAAAAAAAAAAAAAGCCTGACTGCTTCTCTCATGTCAGACCCTGGGCTCTGGCCTGCCCTGACTCACAGCTGCTGTGATTTCCCCTCTGCATTCTGGGGTAACTTTCACCAGTAAGAGGCTGCTCATTAACACACAGCCAATCCTGCTGTTAAAGCCCAAGCACTTATCCAAGGTAAACTTTGCTGCCAATCACTTATCAGCCTGGGYTCACAATGGGCCATTTTCCATAGTACTCCCAGAGTAGTGGAGAGGGTAGGAACTGGAACAGGTTCTCCTGCAGGGACACCAGGCAGAGCTTTCACTCTCTGGCCTTGCTCCACTGCCATCACCATTCCTCGTTTGCCCCGGCACCCGCAGCCTGTACCCCATCTTTTCTCAGTTCTGTTCTCAGAACTGTCAGCCAGGGCTCAGAGAAAATCACACCTGCAAACAAACCTCCACTCAGCACTTTCACCTCAAACCTACCGCAACACATATGGYGGCTCCACCTGCAACTAGAGTTATTTTTTATAAAATCTGCATACACAAACAAACAAACAAGGAGGCGGCTTCTGAGTTGCAACAGAAAAAAGCCTTCAGAACTCAATTCAGAACCTGGTACATTAAATTTCAAGATACCAGAACCCCCCTGTGCAGAGGTGGGGAACGCACACTGCTGGGGTTGGTGTGAAGGAAGCAATGCTCACCATCGTGGCAGCAAATGCCAGGGTCAAAGTTGGGGAATCACACCAATAAATATCCAGCCCTCAGATTCTGGATGCTTCAAGGATATTGGAGCCTCTGGTCACAGTGTCCAACAGGACCTGTTCCAGCAGCACCAGGACACACAAGATGCTGAGGATGAGCCACAGCCCTGCCTTGGTGACACCTTTGACATCTCATCGTTCACTGCCTCGTATAGAAATTAACCAAAATACCACAGGCACAACTTGGAGACAGGTCTCCAGTGCCACTCCATATTACAAAGCCTTCTCTAATTAACCTGTAATTATTTATTGAGCAACTTCCTGCTACGGAAACTTACACAAAGCCACTGGTTAAGAGCACAACGTCTCTTCAGTCATCCCCTTAGCGCTAGAGCACAGAGGGAAATGTCTGTTTTAGAGAAAGCAATGCTTCCCTCATCACTGTCCCGTGACTGCTGGGGCAATGAGAACCGGCCCGCACCGGCAAACGTAATATTCACCCTCGTGAGAGCCGTGCCTCTTACAGAGACACCTTGGAAAGTATTACCAGCCCCTTTCCAAGCACCCAGAAGAGGCTGCTTTGAGTGAGAGCCCCGGAGTTTTTCTCCTCCGAGCTCTGTGCAGCTCACACCCGGGGGTCACACCCCGCCAGCCCCGCGCCCACCCGGGACRCACCTCATGGCCACGTTGCTGCCATCGATGACGATGGGCTTCAGGTTGTCGCTCTCCGTTTCCTCGGGGCCGGGCGCGGGGGATTTGTTTCCGGCGCCGCCCCGAGGGACCAGCGGGGCCTCGCCGGGCTCGGGAGGGGCCTCGGGKCCGTCCCGCTCGGCCGGGCCGTGCTTCACCAGCTCCCCCAGCACCGTGTTGGTGTCGGCGTCCAGGCCCAGCTTCTGCAGCACCACGCGGATCTCCTCCGAAGAGTAGCCGAGCTTGCGGAAGAAATCCACCTTCAGCTGCAGCTCGGGGCAGTCCCCGGGCCCCTCGGGACTCTCGTTGCTGTTCATCCCCGCTGCGGGCCGGGCCGTGGCCGGCAGCGCCTCAGGCCAGCCCGGGGCGACGCTGCCCGCGCTCATGGCTCCCGGCGGGGCACTCGCGGCCTCCGCTCACCGCCCGGACCTGCGGGGAACAGCGGTGTTAGATGGGGGTTAGCAGCGGTGATAGCAGTGCCKCCGGCCCTCTGTCCCCTCCCGGCCCGGCCGAACAGCCGCCCAGCCCCGATCCCCCGCGCTCACCGGGCCGCTGCCACCGCCGGGGGGCCGCTGCCTCTCCATGGGGCCGGAGCGGGGCGGGCGGCGGCCGCCGATTTATACCAGAGAGCAACGCAGGGCGGAAGGGCAGAGCGAAGGGGAGGAGCGGAGGCCGCTTCTCGGCCCTCCCCGGCCCGCCCCTGGCCC